GTGTGTGTGTGTGTGTGTGTGTGTGTGTGTGTGTGTGTGTGTGTTTGAAAACTTCTATTTGATCAATCTATTTTTATCTTTATCTGAGATCTGTCTCTGTTTTGCTGTTTCCATTCATGTGCCTGTGTTTTGACCCCAGGTGTGAAGTAATTGTGCTCGGCTGATGACAGCCAGACTGATATATGAAGCTCCTTTATCATTATTCACCAACATCAACACACTAATTACAACCACAGCCTTGCAGCAAACACTACTTTTGCTTTTCTCTATGTTTTTGTAGAGCTAGAGGGGAGGAAGTGTGAAGGGTCGAGCAAAGTCTGACACCTCGGCCTTAACTCTTTCGCTTTTTTGCRAAAGCTCCGATGTGGAGAAATTAAAAATCACAGATTTATAGAGAAATACCAGAAATGACTCAAATTTGTATAAAATGCAGACTATTTATCATGTTTCAGCTGTAACTCACAAAATCGCACACTRGATCATAAACCAACATCAGCTGTTTGTGTCATAACAGATACATAAACTGGTGCATCTTCAGCAAAAATAAGACTTTTTCTTTGAGAATTTTATGCATTATTACATTCCACACAGACTCACACAGCTGGGATGCTGTTTAGCAGGTTRTCTTGGTCTGTGGGGAATGAAAGCCTAAGATGGGAAGAAAAGAGGGGAAACTGAAAGAGAGTGAGCTCTGCTTTGAGTCCCTCATGTCCATTCGGCACATTCTGATTGTAAAATAAGTGATGTAACAAAATATGACAGTCATGAACATCCATGTCTCTTTCAGTATTTTCTGTCATCCTCCTGCCACATCACAGCTTATCTCTGTCTACTGTTAAATAAATCTGGTGGTGAAGTAAGGATACCTCAGAAATTCAACCCACTCATCAAGTCACTGGGATCTGTTTTTAAAAATATCATTTATTCACAAAACTTAATAGGATTTTTTTTTATTTTAATGAAATCTGGTGCTGCAGCACTTATCATATGTATGCTATTTTGGTTTTTAGTATTTTAACCACAACTTATTCTAACATAACATTTTATGTATTTTTATACTACACGTTACCATAATGCACATAAAAGCAAAAGCTGATTTCAATGGTCAAATGATAAATTTACTAAACAGGTGGAACTAATAAGTAATCGGAAACAGTTTGGTTAAAAATAATTACTCCTTTACAGTGTAAAGTAGAGCAGTGGTTCCCAAACTTTTTATCTTCTGACCCACAAAATATTCATTGCAAAAACTTGTGACCCCAAATATTACCAGTCTGAGTACACAAACTTTGTTAATAACCCTAAAAACAAAGGCTACACAAATATAATTACTTATTAATACTTATTTCGGGTTTTTGTAATAATTATAGGGAAAACATTACATCACCAATTATTTTATTACCCTTTAAATTGATTTCTGAAGTGCAGTGGCTCCAAAACTTTTCAGCTTTTGACCCACAAAATAACAGTAACAGAGACCTGAGCCCACAACTATTTTTGKATGATAAACATTTGTATCAGGTCAACTAAACATGGGCATAGTAACAATATTTGTTATTCTACATGTATACATTTTAGGCAACTAAGGCAAAAATGTAATTAATTTAGAAAATCTTTTCAGGACCSCACCTTGATGTTTCAGGACCCCACTTTGGGTCCCGACCCCAACTTTGGGAACCACTGAAGTAAAGCACACCAAAGCCAAATTCTGCTGCAGTGGTGCAACAGCGCCCTCTGGAGTCTGGTTATATGTTGGTCGCAGAACAATGATCTACGCATGCGCACTCTGGACCAGCTGACAGTGACGCAGAAATGGCGTGCTCCTTTACCCGGTTTTCTACACGCCTGTTAGCAGCATCTGTGTCTTGTGGGCGTCTGAACAGTCGCTTTCTGGTTGTTTCCTGCAGACATGGAGGAGTTTGTCAGGCGACCGTCTGGCAGGCTAACCGGGGAGGGACGGCGGCCAGCCTGAGCTCCTGGAGTCGCAGAAATGTGTTGACATTCACAGGACTTCCAGGTAACATGTTAGCTAGCAGTTAGCAAAACATCAGGACTCCGCTTCTCCTCTGATGTAACCGAGTCATGCAGTTGTTGGTATGTTAACAGAGAAAAGTAAATATTATTTAAATGATTTTGTAAAGTTTGTTACGTCATGTTGGTTTACTCATTTAGTAATTTAACTAGTCTGCACCTACACTGACTGACCCCTACTTCTCCACACAGGATGGTTTGGTTTATCATGGTAAACACACACATTTCAATGTAATCAAAGTATTCCCTTTTTTTTTTTTTTTTTTCAAAAATATGAAGTCAGAGGTTTAATGTGATGTCACTGTGCCTGGTTAAAAAAAAAAAAAATTGCAATGCAGTTTCCAGGGGGTTTATGAAGGTTATTCATGTGGCAGGAGCAGTGTGATAATAATTGGCAACTTAAATTCAAAAGCACTGTTTTAGTAAAGATAAAATTGGTTATAATGACTCCACTCTAAAAGTTACCTTAAGGCACACAGACCCGCTTACAGACCAGGCTTGAGACGATCTCACAATTCCTTAAGTTTGTTTATTACACGATGATTTTATTTCAAAAATACTAGCTTAAAACCTCTCACACATTAAGTCAGTTCTGGCTCAACTCAGGGAGGAGTGAAATTCAGGGAAGTGTCCTAAAAGAAAAGAAACACAGCAAACAAAAGAAAATCGTGCACCAAACCAAAAGGAGTACCACCACTCGGAAAGGCCACCACCAACACCAGGAGCTGGCCACTGCCCTGTCACAAATACAAAAAAACAAAATAAGAAACAGACAGCATTCATTTAAAAGATGTTAAATATATATATAAAAATGGTAAGGATTCAGAGGTCTCCGTCCGGTAGCAGGTAGCCAAGCAGCAGTAGACTTTGGGTGTGAATTAATGTTCCATCCAGCAGCTKTGAGGAACCCACAGAATCACCTTGAGCTGAGCGTCACTAAGCCAGTCAGGGCAGAGTGACAACCAGCAGGAGCCGATGAAGGTSTAACACAGCAACAAGTAAGAAGCCGGCCAAGGAACCACACGGCRTAGATAGGAAACTGGAAGTGAACAAATAGGGCCTCCAGCAGAACACCGGCAAAGGATAAACAGCAGCGTCTGGTACAGAACAAGCATTAAGAAATTAAATTTGTGTAATTGAGAGACTGATAAGACAAACATTGCACTCACCACTGAGCCTAAAGTGTAGCTCCTCTAAAGGAGGAGGAATCAGGTAGACTCATTCTGGTAGCCTATTGAAACAGAAGCTAAGTTAAAGCTAGGCTACAAACAAAAACACCCAGGAAGTAGAAGCACTCCTTACCATAAAAAGGATCAAGGGTCGTTAAACGCACCCTTCATGCACCCACTAGCCTGGGGCTAGCGTGCAGCACCCGCAACCATGGTAGTCTGAACCGGGAGGCAAACATKTCACACAGGTAGAGGGAGGGCCCTTTATATACAGGCAGCCAGCGCCACGACCAATTAGATGCAGGCACTTGTGTGGTGCATTCAAAGCCTACAGGGCATACTGCCACATTCAGATTATTTAATAGGATATCAGGCTCAACAAACCCAGATATCTCTAAATTCTTTATTTAATACTATGTGCAATAGCCCCTGACAAAGTGCTGATTTAAAGATTTATAGCTGCCCGAGAACATCACTGCTGCAACAAAAACAGGAAGACAAGCTGTCATAATACACTGAAACGATTGTTTATTGTCACTGACRTTAAATTACTAACAAATCTGGTATTTCATAAAACTGATGTGTTGCAGGTCTCTTGTGTATTTTTTGAGATACAACACTGTTTATTATTAATAAAAGAGCATACTGTATAAAATAATCAATTGTGTGACTGAATTGAAATTATTTTTAATGATCTTTTTGGCATTTTTATTAGATGATTTAAGTTACATATATCTATTGAGGTATAATTTTAGTTATTTTTTTAAAGCAACCACAAWAATTGGGTAACTCTTGTGATACATGGAGCATCAAACTACATATTTCCGCCCAAAACATCTGATTATTAACTAATTTTAGCAGCATGGTTCAACACGGTACTGAGTGTGTCACTTTTTACCATTTTAACTTGCTTGCAAGTACACTGAAATTATGCAATATGCAGTTTTCGCAGTGCAATGATAGTTTAGCGAGCACTAAAAGTAATAMATTTGCTAACAGGAGCACAGTGTAAATTAACATGTGATGCTTTAATTGAGTTATTAACTTTATTTGTATCYTTTTTTCTCTCTCTGCAGGGCAGAGATGTCCACATGGAATTACCTGCCACTCCTTCCACTCCAGCAGCAGAGCRGCCAACAGCCAGGACCTGTATGGAATCTTAGGCGTCTCTCGCAATGCCTCACAGAGTGAAATCAAGAAGGCTTACTATCAGGTCTGAGCTTGTTTGTCCCAGTGGTGATAAAAAAAAGTCATGTAAAAAATGTTAAGGCATTTATTAATGGGCACATTTCTTGATTTTTGGAGGGGGGAGAATTTATTTTGTTTTCTATTTTTCTTCCATTTCCACACTTTTCCTTTGGGCCAGATGGCAAAGAAGTATCATCCAGATGCCAACCCTGATGATCCAGAAGCAAAAGAGAAGTTTGCCAAACTGGCTGAAGCTTATGAGGTGCAWAACACTTCTGTTTTCAAACAGAAAGAGCAGCCATGGAGTTGGCGATTACATTCCAGTGTATCTCTGCTCAGGTGCTGAGCGATGAGGTGAAGAGGAAGCAGTACGACACGTTTGGAGCAGCAGGTTTTGATCCGGGCCRTGCCACGGCGGGCCAGCGGCCGTACTACAGGGCAGGTAGCGCCACTCTAGACCCTGAGGAGCTCTTCAGAAAGATCTTTGGAGAGTTTACAGGAGGCATGGGCTTTGGGAACATCAACAGCATGTTTGACCAACGACCTGAGGTAACACATTACATTTTCATTTCATGACATATCGCTTTACAACATGCTGTTTTATTTCATCATTATTTACTTAATGTTAAACCAAAAAAAAAAAGCATATTTAACAGGAATTTGAGAAGTTAATACCTATTGTGAATAAATTTCCTGTTTTGTTTTCAGTACGTGATGGAACTGACATTTCTCGAGGCAGCTAAAGGCGCTAATAAGAAGCTGAGGATTAAAACAGATGAAATCTGCCCGAGATGTGAGGGAAAGGGCAACGAACCAGGCACCAAATTGCCTCACTGTCACTACTGCAACGGAACGGGAATGGTGAGACTTGTAGCAGCGGCGTAATTAACCAATCATTCACACTATTGAGATCTTTTTTTTTTCTTTTGTACGTTTTTCAGCATCTAACTTGTTCCACAATTTTTGTGCTATTTCAACAATTCATACGTCAAAACGTTCAGCTCATTTATTACAATTCTGCTATGACTTTTGATATTTCAGCTTTTTTTACTTTTTCAGCTATTTCACTTTTTTAGCCACTTTTGTGCCATTGAAAATGAATGGATCTGTTTTCAACATGCTTAAAATCCTTTAAAATGCTTCTCAATTTGCAGAATCTTACACATTTTGTTCCGGTTCTGCTCATTTTAGGTACCATGTGCTAATTCTAGCTACTTTTTAAAATTGTATTTTTTATTTTTTTTGCTAATTTTAGCTTTTTCTGTTATGTCTGCTATAATTCTGCTTCTTTCTGTTATTCTTCTGCTAATTTCTGCTTTTTTTGCTTCTTTCTGCTAATTTGAGCTATTTGTTTCTAACAGTTGCTTTCTCCATTTTACAGCTATTTTAGCTTTTATTTTTTTACTATTTCAGCTATATTTTTGCTCGTTTTTTCTGCAAAGTTGTTTTTTCCCTTTCAGCTTTATAAAATGAACTCACATTATTGCCATTAAATATTTTCAGCTTAATTTCAGCAGCTTTGAGCTTAAGTTTTCAGCAAGAAGYATTCACACTAGCATTTTCGCCGGAAATGCAATTTCTCTAGTTTCAGCTTGTTTTTACCACCTTCAAGCTCTTCGGGCTTCCCATTTTCAATCCGTTAGTTCTCCTCTCTCATCTCCTGCAGGAGACGACCAGCACGGGTCCTTTCATGATGCGCTCCACGTGCCGGCGATGTGGYGGGAAGGGCTTCATCATAATCAACCATTGCATTATGTGTCGAGCAGTGGGCACCATCAAGAACGAAAAGACCGTCACTGTGACTGTGCCCACTGGTGGGTGGAACATTTTAAAGAAACCAGTTCACACATCTGCTTTGATCCAAGAAACTTTACATATTTGTGACCCATCACATCGAAACGAGGATTAAGTCCAAAAGTGGGAGGTAGAGCAACAGCCAGATATAGGGTTTTGATTTAAAGGTGTGCAAAAATTTCTTTTTGTCAAAATATAATGAATTAATGCCTTTTCATTGTATCATTTGAACGAACTGTCTGAAATATAATCCTAAAAAAATATTTTGAAGCCTTTTTTTAACAGTAGCAACAAAAAACCTGATTTTGAGGAAAACCACCTTAAGATTTAGAGTTTTTCCCTGTCAGCTAGCAAAGTTTTGTTTCTTCTAACTGGGAAATGTTAATACACAAATGATATTAGAGGTTTCCTCTTTATATTGACTTCAAAAATTACTCAATAAATTTACATAAAATTAGGATTCAGACCAAATATTAATGTATTATTGTAACCAACAAAACAAATTAAGTCATATCTCTGGATAAGCTTATGATATCAGAATGATCCAGGTGTCAAAATGTAGCTTTTAAAGCCAAGAATCTGAAAATGTAATTAGRYCATTTTGACCAAATTTGACTTAATCCTCATTTCAATATGATKGGTCACATTTGTGTTTTTATAATTCTGAACATCTGGAGAGATTCTCTGCGTGTTTCATTGTGATGAATTTAGAGTGATGTCATCTTGCTGTAGCTTACTGATGGATAATGTGTTTTATATACCTGAATGCTTTTATTCTTTCCAGGCGTGGACAACGGTCAGACAGTGCTGATGTCAGTGGAAAATAAAGAAATCCTAATAACGTTTAGAGTAAGTTCTGTTTTTCAAACAGTTAAAGATGTTATCCATGTTTTCATTTAATGTGCTGCTAATTTATAATAGTTATTTAATATTACAAAATTATTCTCTTTTTTTTCACGTTTCCAATTACTGTAGAAGTTGTTGAAGTGCAGCTACACTTACGCACCCTTTGTATTCCCTGATGTTTGATCTTTTTTGGACTTGAGCCTAAACACCAATCTACCAAAACAAGACCACCAGTGTTACATTGAGTAGATTCTTTTTTGTTGTTATTGAAATATATCTGACCATTTAGAACAAAAACCTGAAAAACCTAAAGGTGTCGTAGACCTCTATCAGACCTGGCAACGACTTGGGTGAGCTGATCCCATCGGGACGGCATTAAATACAAGCGTGAAACGTCTCATATCGTATTCAAGATGTCTTCCCACAAAGAATTGTGTTATAGAAAGAAGCAGTAAAGAATAAAAGTTCACAAAGATGTGCTCTGGCATTAACAAAACATGAGAAAATGGTCAAAAAAAACTTGATGTTTACTTTATTTATTTTTTAGCAATCATCAAGGTTAGCATTCATTTGTGACAACATAAAACAATGTAACAAGTTAAACCTGGCGTGCCTGTTTTTATGAGTTCAATGAGTTTTATGTCAAATCTGCAGGTCGAGTCGAGCCCGGAGTTTAGACGTAACGGAGCAGACATCCACTCTGATGCCTTCATCTCTGTAGCTCAGGCCGTCCTTGGAGGCACAGCCACAACAAAGGGCCTCTATGAAACCATTAGTGTGGTGGTGAGTAAGTCAGGGAGAGATCAACGCATGGTGCTCTTTAAAGGTTTTTAGCTTTTTTTAATGTGTTAAACCTTATTTTGTCACAGTTTAAATTACTGAGATTTTTGTTTATGATTTAATATTAAATCAGTGTACTTCTTTAATGTTCTACATTAACCTTAAAAATCATGAAATCATCGCAATCTAGTGTTTTTTTTTATTCACAGTAAGATGCTATTTTTGATTCTAGACAATAAGTTCCCAAGGTTTACAGGGTCTGATTTTCTATATGTTTATGCTAGAGTTTTTGGATTTCCTCCCTCAAAGTTTAGAGGAAGTCATCTCTGCTGTCCATGTTTTCAGATCCCTGCCAGCTGTCAGGCTGACCAGGTGATCCGGTTACAGGGAAAAGGGATTCGGAGGATGAACAGCAGCAGTTATGGAGATCATTATGTTCAYATTAAGATTAAAGTGCCAAAGTAAGATCCACACAGACATCCCATTTTTAACTTCATTATTGTCTTTTATGTATGATACACACTCATCAGACACTGTTCAGATCTACTTGTTAATTACTTCATTTATGCATGTATAATGCAAGACCTGTTTTTTTTAGCTTAAAATAATCTAGTCATGCTTAATTCAACCCCTAATTCCWTAGAGACTTCAGGATTTGTCAGCCTTTCAGTGTACTTTAGTGGGGAAACAGATTGTTTTGGGGATATCTATATTTAATATATACGGCTGTGGGCATGTTTGTTCAGGAGGAGGCTGTGGAGGAATTAAGGTTTAAGAGGAGTAGCATGTGCCTCTGCAGGTCACTTAGCTGACAATGGAAGCCGGTTGTTAAATTAGTTAGATGGACGGCTTYGAGGAGCAGCTCGTCTGGTCCTATTGAGCACGCAAACATGCGTCCATGTCTGCGGTTAACAAGAAAAAATGTTTGTTTTTCCTCCTCCTTCAACTCCACACTCAACAACATGAGTCTTTTTTTCAAACATTCAAAATATCATCGAGTTATAAACAAACAACTATCCTGCTGTAACAGTTGTTTATATGCTTTGCTATGTGTGACGTATTCTACAGTGTGTGTGGTGGTGGTGGGGGGTGGGGGTATGAGGATTTATCCCCTGTGACACAATAATTCAGGTATATGTGAGAAAATATTTAAATTTCTTGAGGTAGTAGCAAAAAATCAGTCAAAATGTGTTCCTGTCTATAATCCGACCCTCCAACTTAAAGATGTTTCTCAGGGTTAAATCATTTTTCGCATTATACACGCATAAATACAGTAAACTATATTCTTGATCATAAAGTTTCCAGATTAAAATATTCAGCTAGGATCTAAAGGAGATATGGAATAGTTAATTCAAGTTATAAACTATAAAAAGCCTTGACTTTGTTTCTGTCTATGCCAGTTGTCCCCGACAGGCTGTGTTTTACATTTTAGAACCTCAGACTTTAAATTGTAATAGTTACAGTTTTGTGTCATTATTTGCCGTCTCTTTTATTTCCCACCCACAGAAAGTTAACTCGAAGGCAGCGTTCTTTGATGCTGAGTTATGCAGAAGAGGAAACRGATGTGCAGGGAATCGTCAACGGTGTCAGTCGTCCAGCAGGTCAGAAACCAGATTTACTCTSCAGCAGTTCTTTGATTCCTTTGGCTGAAAATAAATAAATAAATCAGACAAACAATTGACATTTTTGTTAGTCAAGCTTTTTGCATGTGTCTACTCAAATTTTAATTATTTTTATCAATTAAAGTAAACGGTTAAAATGATAACAGCAATCATTTTGTGTCATTTAAACATGCTCTTCATTTTAAACCATTCTGATTGATCTTAATACAAGTTGCTCTCCTATTGAAGTTGTGCTAAAACTACATGTTTTTGTCCAGGAGGGGGCAGCACCGCATCAGGCTCTGGTGCGAAAACAACCACGTCAAAGGAAGAGGAGAAGGAAGAGGAGAAAAAGGAGGAGGGAGGCTTTTTTGCCAAACTAAAGAAAATGTTTTCCTAACACTCAGCTGCAGCTCAGATTTTAAAAACTTCACATCTCTAAAAAAAAAACAATCCAGTTTGAAAGAACTTTTATTTTATTTAACATTAGATTTGTTCGTTTCAGGTCATCTCTGCTCTCCATGTTCAYAAAAACATAATAAACGTAGAAAATAAATAACTGTCTGGAAGTCCGTGCCACCTTTTGGGAAACCGCAGCCCAGATACTATATATATA